TCAGTTTCACTGGGTAACAATATACCGTAGCCATGCATGCTCAATCAAAAACAATTTGGTTATTTGAAATTTTTATCTGTAAAGCACAATTGGAAATTTAAAAAGTAAAAATTTTTTCTGTTTGCAAAGCAAAAATTTCCCGCCAGATAAACGACATCCGGGACACCGGTCCACATACGGAAAATACGGACCACGGTCCGGATATGGGTTTTTACGGAACGCTTGTCAACCAATCAGAATAGAGAATTTTGAAAAGCCATATAATAATATGCATTAGGGGCGGACAATTTGATGAGGTGGATTTTCAATAATAACTTTTTAAACCTCTCAATGCTGTTCGATATTTTTCTGCCGTTCAAGGCTCTTGAACATTTTTTTTATTTCATGGGCACATATAGGTAGTAGGTATTGAGTATAGGCTATGGGTCGTAATTTAAGAGAATTTTTTATAAAGTTTGGACATGCAAACATTCACAATTGTATATATTTACAATTGTATATTTTTGTCATTTCTTTAACTATATTGAGTTATTGATATTTTCCTGACATATTCAAGTAAATATGATATGTTATAATATATATATATATATATTTGGGCAGCTTGGGCAATGTAAGTTGGGCAGCGTAAATATTGTATATTCTATTATATGTATATTTGAAGGGCTTGGGGAAGGTTATAATTTCGTTCTACATTTATATACAGTGAAATAGTAATGTGTAAGCACACACATGAATGGACCTTGGCTACGTGTTAGCCTTTTAGTAAATAAAACGGGATTACAAGTCGCACAATTTAAAGTATAAAAATGACGGCAAGTGAATGTCATGTAATAGCCCCGCCTAATAATATTTTAATTCAATGGCAGTGTTAGGGCAGTTATATACAGAAGCACCAAAATTTCCAAAAGTTTCACGCGAAAGACGGCGAACAGCCTCCTATCATACATACGTATTGAATGTTGATTAAAAAATTCCATTGCTAAAAATTCGAACGGGTGAAAACATATCCATTTCACAGATCTAAGGCTGGTATACTTTAATTTAGGGTATTATAATTAGTTGCCGTAGTAATCATGTGTATCTAAAATGCTCCGTCGTCCGCCGTCCGTCGTCCACCGTCCGCTTTTTATCCGTCCGCCTTTTATCTACACCCGAGTTTCTTTACTATAAAGATATTAATATTACATTTCTTCTGAGAATGATTCAAGTATTACACATTGGCCAATAATTTGGGGTTAGTCGCGCTTTAATACAGATGCTCAATTCATTATTGAATATTCATTTTAATTATTGCTATGTCAACAAACACTACCTGAAACATTTTGTTTACACCATCACCAGTCTGTGCAGAGGTTTCAAAGTAATAAAAACCACAATTGTTTGCCCATATTCGACCAGTGTTTTCATCAACCACCCTTGTTTTATCTGTCTGGAAGATGCAAAATCATGCAACTTTAATTCATTGAATATTCAATATTTTAAAAACCATTAATATTAACGTCTGATATATTAGACACCGGCCCCAACAGCTACAAGTAACATATTATTTGAAATATTAACCCAAATGGCAATGCATTTAACAGCGATATCAGTTGGATGACCGTATGCTTCTGTTTGCCCCATACAGAATCATACAATAATTCTGATTTACAAGATTATAAGTGCCTTGTGGTTTAATAGTTTATAGTAACATTGTAAAATTAATAGTAAAATTAATTAAATTTCCTCTCTCTGCAAATACTCTATAGGATATACTGCAAATTTCTGACAGTCATCGACTTTTAGTTGATTTTCTACAAATTGATCTTGATAAACTTTACTTTGTTAGCACAGACAACGAAGACAACTTTGTCCATATCTGTGGGGTCTCCTATCTCTTTCTTCATTTCATTCAGCCATGATTGCAAACTATCAAAACTCTGTTGACTGGAAACATCAAACACGAGGAGAACACCCTGTGTGTCTTTGTAAAATTCATTGCGAACCTGCAAATCATTTAAATGCTACTTTTAAATTAACATAAACTAACTGTACTATACATAAAAGATTACTCAATTCTGACTGGCTACAAATAGTATTATCAGTGAGTTTCATATATTATCTGGAGTAAGAAGTCATGTCCAAAAAGTCAATCCAAAGAAGATGGAAATCAATGTCTAATTCACCTACATGACCTATTGTTATATTACTAATTCAATATTAATTGTACTATTTTTCAAGTGCTTCAATTAAGCCATGATATAATTAATAAAAGCTGTTGAGGCCTTTGATTAATTATATTTAACAAATATAAAACATTTTCCGTGTTGATATACAGTTATATCAACACGAGTGGAATTGGGAAAACGAGAAATTGTGTGGAAACACGACGCCCGAAGGGCGGAGTGTTTTCATACAATTTCGAGTTTTCCCAA